TCGAAGACTCCTAACACCGTCAGTGCTTCTGCGAAATTCAACGAGATGTCGTTGGAGCACGCAACGAGTGTGATTTTCCTACAAAAGCAGCTTGGAGCACAGGATCTGTATGCGGAGAAGGTGGCTAAGGATAAGATTGTTAGAGGAGAGCTTCTTAGGACCAAAGCCGCCATGGACAATGCTATCACCTCGCATTTGGCCTTGCAGAAGGCCGCCTCTTTCCCGCCTTTCATGGAAGTTCAGAAGAGTATGGCAACGGCAAATAAGACCTCTTCTATGATGAGAAGTTGGGCTTCTGAAAGTCATACGACCACGTCCACACTAACCCTCAGCAAGGGTGCCACCACCCAGACAGCCGCCTACAAAGTTCGCGATGCACATCGACAGGAGACGACGACCAACATCGCTGAATTCGGAAACGCCCAGGAATATTGCGCAGTGATGCTGAAAAACACCGGTGGAGCACACGGCAGCACAATGGCCGCTATGGCCGAAGCGGTCTCAGGTGGGTTATTAGACCTAGACACACGTACGACACAAAAATCCTTCCACCTCACCAACTATAAAACGTTCTTACCACCACGTGGTGAAACACATGTAGCATGGCCACAAGCCACACTTAGATCCGCCTCCTTCCATCTCTCAAAGCTTTCTGAGCACCATAAAATGCATGATGAGAATTTTCATCAAGATTTGCGTATACGCCGTAAAGATGCGGCAGCCGAAGTCACAGTGTATATTTTATACAAACGTGCACTGGGCAATTTCGCTGTGGCTGCGCTAGGTCTATATCTTGGCGAGCGTATACGTCAAGTTACGCACGACCAGCAGCAAGTCCGTGACGAGAGTTTCATCTCCGAAAAACGTTACGAGTCGCAAAGTACCCAGATGGAGAGCAGCGACGAGTTCGAGCGTCTGCAGCAGAGCCGACATCTGATCACAGGTGAGTCCTATATGCATGAGCCTGCTTCTACCTGCCCCGCTTGGCTATCTCAGCACCTAATGCTCGCTGCATACTGTAATATAGCACTTAGTGAATCCCTATCAAGCTTAGTTCAGTTCCTTGCTGTAGTATCTTAGAAATAGCTGTTAGTTAGTGTTTAGCTCAACAACACTGCGTAAAGGATTTAAAGAACTTGCAGAGCGGAGCTATGCGAAAGATCATGTGGTGATACAGCTAAGTGATGCTGAGGAGTTTGTGCCTGTAGGGCGATACAAATCACTAATGGACCAGTGTTGTTAGGGCTATTGTAGTGTTATCAGTCGGCCTCTTTAACTGCTTAGCCTAAACTTACTAGAACAATCAGGAAATCTATTTCCTGTCTTTTATATGGCTAAGCATGGCATGATACGTTCTAAGTTTTGCTGATAGGATGCTTGCTACTAGAACTCATAAGCTATT